CCCCAAAACCCCAAAACCCCAAAACCCCTTGAGATTAATTTTAAGAAATCAAGTAAAATTCAAAATCTATAATTAAAACTTTCTAATCGCTACTCCAAATAATAATTACAGATTAAAATGTTTTCTGCAGTAGTAGTAGGAATGAGCGTTGGTGTTAGATCCAAAGATCGCCAAAGCAAACAAGATGTCTTACAGAACAACAATTTTGTATACATTATTTACCTCTTACTTTTAAATTAGATAAAAAAATTGACTCGGAGAAAGCATAGGTCAAGTCATTAAGTTGAATAGGAGCACTAGAGTAACGATTAGGAAGATCAGTCGTTCGATGAAGAAGGGAACATGATGGAAGAAAATTTATCTTTCTCAGATAGGTCAGGTGATTCAAATTAGACTGATTCTAAACATGAATAATCTTACTCAAACTAGCAAAATCATACTTTGGAATAGAAGCGTGACAAATCGCCGGGAAAAAATGACTTTCAGAACAAAAATAATATAGAACAGTTTAGAGATAGAAGAGCCTCTTTAAGCAGGTCACTTCATGCGTAAAACAAGGATCATCAAGATTAGTAACTGTAACAATAGTAAAATCAACATCATGCACATAAAACACATAAGAAGGTCTATGATCAAAGATCTTTGTATATTTTTAAGCTTGATAATCCAATTAGACGAGCCATTTTATGGGTTCTTGATAAAAAGTATATATTTATGATTTCACAGATTTTAGGTTGTTTGAATACTTTATTTTGATGTTGATCCTCCTCAATTCAATTACACTTGCTCTATATGATTACTCTGATAGAGATTCTTTGTTACCGTACAATCAAGCATTAGATTAGATTGGCCAAATACTAACATATTTGTTCACATTAGAGGCAACCTTGAAAATTATTGGATTCGGTTTCTGCCTCAAGCCTAACTCCTATATAAGAGATGGATGGAATATTATAGACTTTATTGTCGTAATAACAGGGTAAGATATTTAACTAAAACTTAATTATTTTATCAAGTCTTTTGGAAGAAAGTGGAGGATAAGTTAGACTAAAGTCTCTGAGAGTCCTTAGAGTTTTAAGACCTCTGAGAAGTATAAATGCTATTCCAAGTAAATGAAATCTGCCATTTATTATTAAATATTAGGTATGAAGAAACTGGTAGGTGCTTTGATTTAATCTCTTCCGGATTTCTTTAATGTTGCTATATTCTTAATGTTCATATTTCTTTTGTTCGCTATTCTCGGAGTTCATCAGTTTAACGGGGTTCTATATAACAAATGTAGAATATAAAACGTCCCTGAGTCTCCAGATTTGTGGATTCAGGTTCCTGATACACCTAGAGTCTGCTCAATATCTAATTCAGGAATATATAGTTGCCCCAGTGAATATTATTGCGGCAATCCAGAACACCTTACATCACTTGCTAATGAAAACTTAGAATCAAATGTCTTGATTAATTTTGGAATTACTAACTTTGACAACTTGGGATCTTCTCTCTTAACAGTTTTTCAAATAGTTTCAACTGATGGATGGACCCCAATTATGCTTAATTTGATGGATGCTGAAATCCCGTTTCTAGCAGCTTTATATTGTATACTTCTTGTTATCACTGCATCCTTCTTCCTAATGAATTTGATTCTCGCAGTTATCATTTAAGCTTTCATTAGGATTTAGAGAAATGAACTAGAAGAGGATATTTTAAACTATCAAGAATTATAAATTGATGACTTGGACGAAATTAAAGATGATTAAAATGCTCAAGGATAGTAATCTGCATTGGATAAAGAACAATAGAATAATAACTCTATTAAGGAATAAAATGTTGACAATTAAATAGGCTTTGATGGTTAAGAGTAAGAATAATGAAAGTTCACAGGAGAAGATAGTGAGTTTCCTCTAGAAGAAAGAAGTGCAAATTTTAGTGTGTTAAAAAATAGAAATAAACAGAGTTTTGTTGTTAGGCATTTCACTGGAGCAGTATAAGATAAAAATTAAGCATAGTCACCAGAAAAAATTAAGTCTAACTTGGTTAACAGGAGAGTAAGTTTGACAGTAAATATTGAGAAGTCTGATGCTTCAAAATCTTAAGCAATTTAGAGAAATCCTCTGATGGATAGTCTGTAGGTTTTTAAGATAAGACCTAATGATGTCAAAGACTAAACAAATCAATAAAGTGAATAAAATTCACAAGAACAGTAAAAATCAGGATTATAGCTCTTCTAATAAATTCTAAAAATCAATAAAGAGGAAAAATCTAATTAAACTGGGAACAAGTAAGGCAGAATGATGGATGCCTTTAATTCTTTCTTTACTAAAAAGAAGGAAGAATTTAACTCTAAAGAATAATACTTCAATTAAGTTCTGAAAGAGGCGAAGCAATAGTATATGTCTGAAAGTTTGCATGCATAAACTACAAATTTAAGATAACTTGTACAATATAAGCTTAGTTTAAGGCTATCAAGATAAGGAACTAAGGCGTTTGAAAGTAAATTGGAGCGTTCGCTTAACTTTAGAGCTGAGAATAACAAACTTTACTATTACTGCTTGAAGATAGTTAGGAGTAAATACTTTTCAAGATTCATTTCATTATTGATCATTCTAAATACAATTGATTTATCCCTTGATAGATATCCTGAGGCTGAAAACGAATCAAGGATTTATGATTTGATAAATACAGTATTTTCTTTCCTTTTTGTTGGTGAAATGATGATAAAACTCACTGGTTGTGGATTCAAAAATTACTTCCTTGATCCTTTCAATCTATTTGACTGTATAGTAGTTATATCAAGTATGATAGATTTTGCAGTATCTTTATCTGTTTAAACAGAAACCAACGGAGCAATAACAGCTTTAAGAGCTTTTAGACTAATTAGAGTTTTTAAACTAGCTAAATCATGGAAAAAATTTCATAATCTTTTAAAAACAATGGTCAGAACATTAAAAGACATTAGCACTTTCTCTATTTTACTGTTTTTGTTCATGTTTACCTATTCACTCCTTGCAATGGAACTTTATGCAAATAAAGTAAAATTTGGTCCTGATGGTACTTATGATTTAGTTAACGGATAATCTACAAATACCAATTTTGATGACTTAGTATCAGCTTTTACAACCGTTTTTATCATTCTAACAAATGATGGCTGGGCAGGAATATTCTTTGACTGCTACAGATCTGTTGGTTCAACTGTTTCCATTGTTTTCTTTATAAGTTTGATAATTTTTGGCTAAAAAATCCTCTTAAATTTATTCTTAGCTATTCTATTGGAAAACTTTGATGAGGAATCTCTAAATTAAGATATTAAAGATTAATTGTAAGATGCTGAAGAAAGATAAAAGCATAAGATTACTTTGCTTCAAAAGGTTAAGATGATTTTCTAAAGATGCTTTTAAAAGTGCTAATAAAGAAGAAAGAAGAAATTAAATGAGTCATTAAATCTTAATGGTACTTTAAATAATTCTCAAAGAGTAGGGATGCTTCCAGAGATTTCTATTTCTAAAGATGAAACAACAAAGCCTAATCATGCTTCTTTATTATTTGGATCTCTTAAAAAGAGCAATGATTCTACAGTTCCTATACCACCATCAACTCCAGTTACTCCAACTAGAAAAAAAAGAAAGCATACTCGTAGATAAGGACCACCAATGAAAGGAATTACATTAGGAATATTAGGACCTAGAAGTAAATTTAGACGAGTAATATTTACCATAGTAAATAATTCAAAGTTTGAATTCTTTATCATTTTGGTCATTTTAATTTCAGGTGTATAGCTCGCACTTGAAAGGCCTCTTAATGATCCAAATAGTGATTTAATCATGACACTAAAGTACATTGATGTAGGTACAACAATCATATTCTGTTTGGAATGTATCATGAAAGTAATGGCATTTGGACTAATCTTTAACGGTAAACGAAGTTATCTTAGAAATTCTTGGAATATTGTTGATTTCTCTATCATCATATTCTCAATTATCTCTTTAACGCCATTGTCTGACGCATTTAAAACATTCAAAATGCTAAGAGTTATTAGAGGAATTAGGCTTATAAGCAGAAATGAGGGACTAAAAGTAGCTGTAAAAGCATTGATACAGGCTATTCCTCAGATAGCTAACGTAACTATCATTACACTCTTGTTCTTTTTAATATTTGGAATCATAGCTGTAAATTTCTTCAAAGGTAAATTCTTTTTTTGTAACTCAGATTCAAATCCTCCTGAGCTAAAAATTTTAATTATCGACAAATGGTCTTGTCTGAACACTGGTGGTATTTGGATGAATAAACCTTGGACTTTTGACAACGTTATTGAGGCAATGAAGTCCTTGTTTCAAATGTCAACAACATCAGGATGGTCAGATATAATGTTCATGAGTTTAAAAGTTGGAGAGATAGATTAAGTTTAAAATGAAAAAACTGGATTATACTGGATAATTTTTCACATTATCTTTATTATTGTTGGTGCATTTTTCTTGCTTAATCTATTCGTTGGTGTTGTGATAAGTACATTCAATAGAGAGAAAGATAAAATAGGAGGCAATAATCTTCTTACCGATAGTTAAAAGTAATGGCTTGATACTGTATAGATTACTCTTAAGGCAAGACCGATAAAAATTTTAAATAAACCTAGAAATAGATTTAGATAGGTATTTTATAAGGTCTAAAAGTTAGTGTGGTTTGATAGAGTTATCTTTGTTTGTATTCTTCTGAATACTCTTATTCTTATGATTAAGTTCTATAGATAGTAGCCAGATGTTCAAACAGCAACAGATAGTTTAAATTATATATTCACATTTATCTTTACTATGGAAGCAGTTATTAAGATAATTGCAATTGATAAATCTTACTTTGAAGATAATTGGAATAATTTTGATTTTGTCATAGTTATTGGGTCCATAATCAGCTTGATCATTTCAGCATTTTCTTCATTAAAGCTAGGAGGTGCAACAACGATTATTAGGGCTTTTAGAATTACTAGAATATTTAGAATTGTTAAGAGAGCTAAAACGTTAAGAACAGTGTTCAATGCTTTCATCTTCACAATACCAGCTTTAGCAAATGTAGGAGGACTACTATTGCTACTTCTCTATTTGTATTCTATTGTTGGAGTAATACTTTTTGGCGACATAAAAAGAAATGGAATAATTACCGATTCTCTTAACTTTGAGACATTTCCTAATGCATTTGTAACATTATTTGTTGTTTCAACTGGTGATGCCTGGGATCAAATAATGAATGCCTCCATACGAAATAGGTCAATAGATTATCAGTGCAAACACAATCCTACTTACTAAGATTTTATCGACAACAACAAGGAGCCTATAGGGTGTGGTTCAGTTGAAATCGGATTATTTTACTTTTACAGCTACATATTATTAGTTAACTTGATATTCTTAAATCTTTTCATTGCAATTATTTTGCAAGGATATGAAGATACATAACAAAAGGAAAACAAATTATTCAATTAAGATACAATGGATCATTTTAGATAGTGCTGGTCACAATTTGACCCGCATGCCACGACTTACATAAAAATTGCAGATCTAAAAGAATTTTTGTTTGCTCTAGGAAAGCCACTTGGCTGGAATGAGAAGATGAGAGATAAGCCATCAACCTAGGACAGATTTATTGCAAATCTTGAATTACCAATCCTGAATGATTTTAAAGACTATTAATTCTTAGATGTACTCGAAGCTTTAGCGTTAAGGTTAGTTGTCATTGATAGATTAGAAAGAGAAAAAGGAAAGTTAAAAAGGTAGGACGAGGAAGAAAAAGATGTGCTAGGAGAAGATAAATATGAGAAACAAGGCTCTCTAATTGAACAATAAAAGGAAATTAAGAAAAAGATACAATAGGATATCAATAAACTATAATTCAATGAAGATGCATAATAAATTCAGGCAGTTATTGAAATGTAAAAAGGGATGGAAAAAAGAAAAACCTTGGGACCTAAGGATGAACTAGCTTCTCCTTTCACATCTGTACATCAAGCAGCAGCTTTGGAGTCTGTTAAGCATATGAAATTTATCATTTAGAAGAGAAAACAACTCAAGAAAAGTCAGAACGGAAGTAGAGTGATAAGCAGCAATGAAAGCAATGAATAGACTTCAGAGACACCTCTTAATAAAAAAAAGACTTAAAAGGTTATTTTGGAAAATGAGCACTCGAAGATCGAGGAAGATGCTAGAGAAGACCATCAGAGTGACGAAGAGTAAAAGAAAAAGATCCCAAGAGTGGACTGAAAAAATAAAATTTCAGACTCGAATTTCAGCAATAAGATAAAAGAATTATCTCAAAAGAAAGTAAAGGAGGGAAGTAATATTGATCTAAATTCAGACACGATCAATGAATTGATAAATAAAGAGTTAGAATAGATCTAGGAATAAAATAACGAGTCTTGCAATGATCAAAGCAAAACATTTACACACGGTGCCCCTCCTATTCAAACAAATAACCTAATACCTAATGAAGGTGCAAGCTAGTAAAATGGAAGCAGTTTATCGCTTATTTAAAAAGACAGTGCCAGGTTATAGCTATAAGCTTTAAGCTCTAGACTTGATTAATCATTGATGCCTCCTCCTCTAGAAACTAGCAAAAGCAAGTTTAGAGCATCAATTGGAGGAACAGGGGAATACATTGAGAGCCAAGATTCCTTCCACTAGGTGATGATTTAGAACGAAATTTTGAGAGTACACAACTAGATGCTGATAGTGGATGAACCTTAAATAATGGAGGTAGTCGAAGTGACAGATAGTTTCGATAATTCGAATCCTAACCGTAATTATTAGACTTGAATTTCATAATCATAATTCCCTATTTGACATATTTGATTGTTATATCTTTATATTAATTTTTTAAAAAAATGTACTTTTCATTCTGAATTTTCAAATATAAAATGCAATTGGGGTTTTGGGGTTTTGGGG